GGTCTTTTGCATGTAGGCTCAGCTGAACTCATGGAGTTTGCCTCAGAGAACAGTTCTTGACAATATGCATCCTTTCCAAATTCTAGTCCATGCTCTAGTGCCCAGTGCCCAGATACCCTCCCCTTAGCTGGAAGCCACTCTGCAAGGCCCTGCCACCACAGACATCTTTGGAAAGGCCTGTTACTCAAAGATGCTATAGCCCTGAATGCTCTCCAGGCCCTGAACCCCCTCCTAGGCCTTTCTTCCTCTAAGAGTTCTTGTTAAGCTTCCAGGTGCTTAGAAAACAGAAGGTCCTTTCGCTTCCTCTTGGGGCAAGAGAAGCCCAGCCTTGCAAGACACAAAGGTCCCCCTAGAAGAGGAGGGAAAATACTTTGTGTTCTTTTCCAGCGAGCCTACAGAAGGGGATCAGACCTGCTTGGGTAATTCTCAGTCACAGTAGTTGGTTTACTGGTAAGTTAATCCCTCATCTTTGGAACATAGGAAGAGCTGTGGTCCCTAGACATAACACAACGCAACAGAAGCCTTTGAATAACGAGTCTAAGAATCCCTTGGCTTTTGTAATCTCTAGAGTCTCTCTAGACTACAGCTTGGACAGGATGTGCCCAAACCCACACAAGGGCCAGTGGGTATTTGAGGACTGATGTGGCTAAGATAAGCCATGTGATATCGTGACGCAGGTAAACAGCATGGCCAGCTCCTAAGCCACCCACACGGCACAGGTGGCAGTTTGTGCTGAGAAGGAGTGGCTGTGGAATCAGATGCACCGGAACCTGAGTTAGGCGCCACTGCTTCAGCTGGTACTTCTCTGACTAGACAATTCTTTACTTCCTACACGGAGACCATTAAAGGGCATCATGCGAGTGTGTGGAAGCTAAAGACAGAAAGCTAAGATGGAGCAATTAAAACTGTGTGGAACACTCTCTGCTCTGAGCACATAACCATGCTACAGAATGTAGAAAGGAAAATTTTAATTGCAGAGTCACATTAAAAAAAAAAGACGAAGAAAGACGTTATTGTCTGTGTAGATAAGGCTAGGGCACATTCTGCTTCCCCTCACCAAGGGCGGCGAAGGGAGGGAACTCTATTTGCCTCTCGGGGTGGTTGGCTTCCTCCTCTTCTAAGCCCCTCCCCAAGCCCTGTTCCTTGAACCACTTCCTAAAATAAACAAGCTGCAGACATCGCTCGCTCATCTCAGACACGACCTTCTTGGAAGGAGTCTAGTCTCAGGCCGCTGGAAAGGAGGGGGAAATAAAACAAAGGAAAGGAGAGGTGGGCAGAAAACAAAACTCAGCAGAAATAAGGCAGTTGGGTTTTCGTTGATTCATCAGCTAACGGGGATGTTAAAAACAACACGTTTTGTCGTGTCTGCATTCCCTCACTCCTAGAAGCTCATTACTTCAACGTTCAGCCGTTTCTCATTCCTTTTCCCCTCAAGGAATCCTGGCTGGACACAGATCTTGCCACGCTTGCCTTTGACCTGGACAGGCCCCTTGGCCAGCCTCTCCTCCTCTTACTGTGTCCGGATTGTTCTAGCACTTCAGGACATCTCAGATTAGGTAGAGCCTCCCAGCTGCCCCCAATGTCTCCTTTGAGAAAACATCTGAAACAAATGGTGGCATTTTGTGCCACAGTATTGGATTTTGCTAAGTTGCTTTTTTTTTTTTTTTTTGGTTTTTCGAGACAGGGTTTCCCTGTGTAGCTTTGCGCCTTTCCTGGAACTCACTTGGTAGCCCAGGCTGGCCTCGAACTCACAGAGATTCGCCTGCCTCTGCCTCCCGAGTGCTGGGATTAAAGGCGTGCGCCACCACCGCCCGGCTAACTAAGTTGCTTTTTTCAGTATATAATTTCATTTGAGATTTATTGTGTATATTCTGCAAAGGGCTTTAAAGAGATTTTTATCTAATTTTATGTCTGTGCACCTGAGTGTACATCAGGCAGCTAGCGACTGTTAACTCCAGTTCCAGGGGAACCTGATGCCCTCTTCTGGTCTTCTCAGGTACTGCATACATGTGGTGCACATAAACTCAGACAGGCACAAGCACACACATACCAAAGTTAATAAATCTTTCTAAAAATTCAAAGTACAGTTAAGCGCTTATCAACTTGAAAATATTTTATTTGTGGGCTGAAGTTGTAGCTCAGTTGGTAGAGTGCTTGCCTACCATGCAGAAAGCCCTGGGTTGGCGACCCAGCAAAGCATAACAGAGGTTGGTGTACACCTATAATCCCCTCCCCCACTTCTGAAGGTAGTAGTGGGAGAATCAGAAATTCAAAGTCATTCTTGGTGACATAAATTAGAAGCCAGCTAGGGATACCTAAAACCCAGTATCAACATTAAAAGAAAATTTAATTGTACAAATTTACAGAGTAAACAGTTTAATAATTTGATTCATGAATATGTGATGATAAAATTAGAGGAGTTGTCACTTGAAAAAAAATCTCCTTAAACATTAAAAGTTGATTGACATAATAATTATATTTACTTATGTGACATAATATGATTTTAAATACAGTATCCAAAAAGAACGATGAAATCAAAGGGATTAACATTTCTGTGTCCTTAGCTCCACTTACGTCTGAAGCTTCTGAGGTCCTCCTTTCTAGCTATTCATAAGCTATATACTACGCCATTATACGCCATAGTCTCCCCATTGTTCTAGGAATACTATAACTTACTGCGTCCATCTAACCATGAAGGTGCTATTATCTAATCACCCACTCTCTATCTCACTAGCCTTCTCAGCCTCAACAATCAGTATTAATTTCAATCAATGAATAGTTTCTCTTTCTGTGACTGAGTTATTTCACATAACAATGTCTTCCAGTTGTTGTGACTCATTCCTTTACACTGTGTGAAGATGTGCCACTGTGACTGGTTTAACAAAAAGCTAACTGGCCAATAGCTAGGCAGGCAGTATAGGTGGGACTTCTGGACAGACAGAGCTCTGGGAAGAAGAAAGGAGAATCACCAGTCAGATATTGAGGAGGCAGGATGGGCAGTACAGAGTAACTGAGCCACATAAAAGAATGTAGACTAAAAGATATGGGTTAATTTAAGTTATAAGAACTAGTTAGGAACAAGCCTAAGCTAAAGCTGAGCTTTCATAATTAATAATAAGTCACTATGCTGGGTTTTGTGAGCTGGTAGCCCAAAGGAAAAGCCTGCTACATCCAGTTCCATCTGTTCTTCTGAAAATTACAGAATATTGTGGGTTTTTTTTCAATTTTTCATGCATATGTGTATGGTGTGTGGACATGTGCGCGTGCGTGTGCATGTACGTGCGTGTGTGTGTGTGTGTGTGTGTGTGTGTGTGTG